GATGCAGATGGCTTCATGTTGTCATGCAAATTAGTATTCGACGGTTGCGATAGTTATTTTAACTATTGTGCGTGGGGAAACTCGAGATACATTGAGCATATTTAAAATATATCCCCCACCCCTATTATAGCTTGGTTGAAATATCAACATTTGAAGTGTCTTGATACTTTTGTTAGGCTTGTTTTATCTTGTTGTTCAGACATTTTGACACTCCTTGATTTGTGCTCTCACAGAGAACTTTAAACATGAAAAGGAAAACATCAGTCTCTTATCGCCTTGGGCTTGAAGGATGTTCTCAAAGGAGTCATTTTACTTGGCTTATTGTGACTAAGCTGTTCTCTTTCCTGCATCAGTGGTTTAGAATAGTTCAATGGCATCTTTAAAATGTTTTGTACTTTTCTGTTCTGCAGTGTGGGAGTCATGCTGGTCACACATGACTTTGCAGCTTTGATTACTCACAGTTCCTAACTAAGCTTATTTCTTTCCATAGAGGCCAGTAAGAAGAATCTGCAATAAATCAGCACAAAAACAGACAGAGCCATGGTGGAATACTACCAGATATTGGGAGTCCAAAGAAATGCAACACAAGACGACATTAAAAAAGCGTAAGTATTCAAGTGTTTGCTTTCTCTTTCTGATGCTGGCAAACTGCTAATATTGCTAACGCCTATGACATGCAATAAGGAAGTGATGTGCCCTATAGTTGGACGAGCTCACACAAAGGAAAGGACTGAAACTTCAGATTGAATAGTGTTGTCTGGCTGTAAATCTTTAGCTATCTAGCGACCAGCACCATTCCAACAAACAATCTGTATTTCCTAACTGGTTCTCGTAAACAGGTAAGGGACAAACTTCTCTAGAGTCAAGGAATAAAAAATATTTTTAGGCCCAACATTAAACCTAATCGTTTGCTAGAAATGTGAATGGACATTTTCATTATCCTTATAACATTTTTTATGATTTTTTTTTGTATGTTTAAAAAGAAAAGCAATAAGTTTGAAAATATGATTAGTTACTTTGAGCATCTTAGTGAGGAAAATCACACTTTGTCATTGCTCCTAATAAAAAATAACATTAAAAATGGATAGCTTGTTAATGGAAGTTAAGTTCATGGGGCAGCAGTGAAAGGCTTTCACAGCCATACAGTTACGTGAAACGGAGTAAAAGAAATGTCTGTGCCAATTGTCAGCCATCTGGGTCATGGTAACCACAAAACAGGCTTAAATTAGAGGCAGTGGACTGTAATTCTGGGCTGCATGCGTGGGTTCTCTCCGGGTACTCCGGCTTCCTCCCACAGTCCAAAAACAAGACTGTTATTCTTTAAATCCTCCTTAGGTGTGACTGTGTGCGTGAATGGCTCTTTGTCCTGTTTGTCTCTGTTGCCCTGCAATGGACTGGCACCCTGTCCAGGGTGTACCCCGCCTCTCGCCCATTGGCAGCTGGAGATGGGCACCAGAACCCCTTGCGACCAAAACAGGGATAAGTGTGTCAGAAAATGGATGATTGGATGTCATTCCTTCACCCCTCCTTCAAACCTGTTTTGGCCCAATGGGGAAAAACTAAGCATGAACTTAGAAACACATAGTGTTAGGCTCTGAGCAAGATAGCTGGACACGTTCACCTCAAGAACAAAGGACACACCTTTAATAGCCAAAATGTACAGATCTCGAACAGATGGTTTTAAATTTGGGTGAAGGAAGCCATCCTTATTAAAAGCGAGAAACTATCACTGAACAGAAGGGGAGGGATGCAGTTAAAGCTACCAGGCATATACAACTCTTTGCTGAAACCCCTGCTGAAGATGTTACACAAGCAAATATCAGATTAAGACTTTGCTTGTGTGGTAGACTGAAAAAAAACAAACATTTTTTTTGTTTAGTTTTTTCTTTTCTCTCAATTTTGTTTGCAATTTTTTTTTTACCACAAAGAGTACTGTGATAAAGATTTAAGGTATTCCTCCTATGGGCTCTGTTCAAAATCAGAAAAGGCCACAAAATGTTATAGTTGTTATCAGAAGAATGCTAATATTAACCCAACCTTGCTTTTATCACACTTATTTCTATTTCTTACAAAGAGGTGATTCTAACAATCAGAGACTAAGAGTCGGTTCTTGTTGCTGCTTGCATAACTTTTTACCCCTTGGTTTTGAAAACCAGAAAACTGGTAAACAAACTATGGCAAACAGCTAATATTGCTAATGCTACATCCACATGAATGCCCACAACAGTCAAATTCTTAAAGGTACCCTAACAGGTAAAACAAGGGGGTTTGAATGAGCTCTATGTATTTATTTATTTTTCTCCTAAAATATTACACATAAATTTACAGACAATTGAAGCGTATTGTATATGAGTAATACCAGGCTAACAAAAAAAGTTGCTATATTTGATAAATTTCATCTCCATGTGAGTGAAGCCTTTTCCATTGACTTTTGTAAAGGATGTAAATAAAAGATAATGGGGTGTTTATGGTAAAAGCATCTTAAAAATGGATGGAAATGAGGAAGATTCTGGAATAGAAAAAAATTCTTAAATGAAAGAAAATATGTGAAATTTCATTTTGAATTATTCACCAAACAGTCGCCGCAGAACATCTATTTTGATACCGTTAAAGTCTACATGTTTTTTTTGTTGGGTTTTCTTCCCTCAGTAAACAGACTAGGATGTAGCATAATTAACAAGTAGTTTGCTTTGTTTGACCAGGGCTGCCCCTCTGACCACTCACTAAATCTTTTCACTGCCAGATAATATGACTACAAAGATGTGAGGAACCAGGACTGCTGACTAAAGGGAGCAGAGCCCCTGAATTGAATCCCCGAGTTTTTAAAACCCCTTGTCTTATCTGCAGCTTCTGTGGGCTTAGAAACAAACAGCTGATGCAGCGTAAGCCACACTGTGAGCCCCCCCTCCCCCTCTCTGCTTGTAAATGCAGTGCTTTGTTAAGTCTGCAAGGGAGGGGAGGAGCACCATCTCCATTGATTTGCAACAGGTTTTCTGTTATGTAAAAACACTCTGAAAGGATGTATTAAATTATCCTGTAACTTTTTTCAACAGGAAATGTGACTGAAACATAATGTGAGATTGGCTCTCCTAGCTCGCCAACATCCCTGTAGCTGAGGAATGTATAATACATGTTATTATTTTAAGTTCATCCAAGGGATTGGACTCTGGACCTGGTTGTTTGGATTGTTGGGGGAGTGGTGGCCTAGTGGTTAGGGCATAGGGCTTGGAATCCTGAGGTTCTGAGTTTTAGCCCCACTCCCACAGACTGCCACTCTGGGTCCCTGAGCAAAAGATCCTTAACCCCAGACTGCTCCTCAGGCGCCACACAATGGCAGCCCATGGCTCCCCAAGGGGATAGGTTAAATGCAGAAAGTTCATTTGGTTACTCTGTACTTGTGACAGTGTACGGACAGTAAACAAGCTGGAAATGTATGTATTGTTTTTAACTATCTTGAGATGGATTTTGTGTGTGGTATTTTGCCACAATGCAAAGCATCAAATATTTAAAAAGCTTCAAATATTTCCACTTTAAGTATGTAGCTTAGATACTTTATGAGCAAGACTGTGCTGAAAGGGAAGGTTTTTCTTTTTTCTCCCCTCCAGCAATCCCAACAAGACCGAACAAGCTGCACATATTAAGTATTCATCCAGCTGCACTGTCATGGACCTTTAATTTCTCAATAGAGCCATGTGTAGTTTGATAAGCTGAGGATTGTTCAGTCTGACCTCAGATTGAACCTGCTTGGACATTCCCTCCTGGATACACTGACAAATCTTTTTCAATTGTGAATAGACTTTTTATTCAGACAAAATACATTTCAACTGGACTATTAAAGTATTATCCTCACCTAATTTTGTGACTGACAAAGAAAGCATTTTAGAAAAGAAGTAAACTAAACATTCCTTTCTATTCCATCATGAGGAAGATATTTCCTGGATTTAACCCTTCAGTTCTTGTTCTGGACCCAGAGTGACACTCTGAGGTTCCAAAAGAATGCTTGAAACTGCCGATTTACACACAAAATCTATTGAAATGAATGCTTTCCTTGAGGCCAAGTAAAGGCTTTTATAATAGAGCAAACAAAAAACCAAGGATATAGTTGCTGATCAAAAAACTAGGGTTGAAACTATCCGATTAATCGGCTAATTGTCAACTAATTTACCTATCGATTAATCGTTAAATGTAGTATAGAGACTCTAAAACATGTCTTTAGCTGACAGAGCGACCCAAAATATTTTGCATTTAAAATTAAACATTTTCGTCTATCAATATGCCTTAACTAGAACTCTTCAAGTAAAAAGCTTTAGTTTGACCTTGTTAAAATTCGTAAAAAAATCCACACAAAAAAAGATCAACAGGTTAATCGATTTGCTTAACAATCATTAGTCATAGCTCTACAAAAACGATACAAAGATTGTCTTATAGCAGCTGTATTGTCTGCATAACCTAAATTGAGGTTTTAAATATTGATTCTTTCAAAACCAAAACTTCTGTCCTATCATTTTCACATTTTAGAGCTCTGGTCCTCTGCAGTTTTTTTAATGCAGAGAAATAGTGGTGTAGTTTCTAACTGAGCACTGCCTGTCAGCTTCCTATGCTTTACAAGAAAGCATATTTTAACAAACTGAGCAATGGTTCTGTGAGATACCGTCCAGTTTTCTTAGCTAAATTTAGCTCATTTGTTTTTGCTTTGTTATTTACAAAGCTGCATAATTTTTAATAATGCCAAAGTATTAAAATTATACTTTGCAGTTGTTTAAAAAGTTGTTTAAAATCTGTGTCCAAACAACTATGAATCAATCGTACAGTGAAGTTTGGTCAGCAGTTAAAATACTTCTTGTTTGAATTAATTAATCAGCATCTTGTACGTTTCTCTTTAAAATTTCTCAATGCTGTAAATTTTCCTAACATATGTACAATGCTTTATTTTTGTAAATAGTAGTTTACTCTTTAAAAAAAAAAAAACTTTAGAATCTATGGATATTTATTATCTTTAAATAAAACCTGATATGTATATTCTGCTGTTCTGCAATCTTTATTTCTAAACTAAAAAAGATGAAGGCATTTTTCCCCATTTTTGCATTTATGTTTATATATGTAGCCTGTGCATCTGATTTTTTTATTAAATGCCAAGGTTGATTAAAGTAAATGCTAATAGATGTGTTTATAAACTAAGACAGTACTAGTTGTGATGCATTAAATAGACAGAAATCAATATCTGACCAGTCAATCACTGATCAGAACCAGTCATTGGAAAATTGTCCAGTTCCCATGTCTGGCTGACCTCTCCTCTTCTGATCTCTCGCCCCTCTGCTGGATTAAATATTGTTCTTGGCATATTTTTATATTAAGCACCACTGTGATTTAAATTGGGTGCTTTTTTTTCTTCTTCACTCCACAGTTACAGAAAATTGGCGTTGAAATGGCATCCAGATAAGAACCCAGACAACAAGGAAGAGGCAGAGAGGCGGTTTAAAGAGCTGTCAGAGGCTTATGAAGTCCTGTCAGATGGTAAGATTGATTTGTTTCAACTTCAAATGTATTCACATTCTGTTTTTGTCCCAAATGCTTTACCCCCTGTGCTTTCCTACTTTTTAATATTCAGGTTAAGTGGTTTTGTTTGGGTGGTATTATTTATTTTACTTTAAGCCTTTAAAAAAAACTATTTCTAAGGTTAAAGTTAAAGATTTATTGTTTAATAAAGTGACCAGTGGTTTTTAGGTTGCTTTTTTATGAGCTGCAAATTAAGTCATTTTTATTCAGTATTAATTTTTAGGGAATTTTCACACCCCTGATGTTTAGACCATTTAAAATGAGCTCCTGTTCATCACATTGAGCTTCTTTAACATACATTGAATTACTCCAAGGTGTACTACTGTTAGTTGCCTGTGGAGACCAGAGAGAATCCGGTTATCAGCGTCAAAACTGCTTGCAGCAGCAGTTCTTGAGAATTTTGTGTCAGATTTGCTTGAATGCGCTTCTCTTATCGTCACAAGTCTCCCATGGTTTTGCTTTTAGTTATGCATATGAAGCTGTTTGGCTTTTAATGGACTCTGTTAGTAATTCCAAAAATGTTAAACAATTCACTGGACTTGGTTTCCATGTTTGAAGATGTTTCACTTCCCATCCAGAAAGCTTTTTCATTTCAAAATGTCAGAATTAGCGTTGAGTTCGAAGCCTTATATAGTAGCCCAAAAACTTGTTTTGGCTTAGAAAACATGAAATTTGAACCTCTATTAGTGATAATCTTGGACAAAATGAGTGATGGCTTTGCTTAAACCTTAATTAAAAGTGATAGAAATTGTAAAAAAATTTTGTAAAAGTAAGGTCTGCACTGGCTAAATGTAAAATCCTACAATGATACTGGGTTGTTGAATATGAAACGACCTGATAATTCTTGTGAAATAATAAATCTGGATTTCCTAAACAGTGTTTTTTTTGTTTTGTTTTTGTTTTTTAAAGCAGGAGGGCCGGAAAAACAACTTTAGTCTTCTGTTGTTTGAAAACACGATAAACTGGAAATACTGTAAAAAAATGTTCAACTTGTCTGTCAACAAATCTTAAATCTGTTGAAGCTCATGAAAGAAAATCATAATTTTTTTATTTATGTTTTTAACCTTGTGCTCCTTTGAGGATGCATAAGTTTATTTTGCACTATTTTAGTTTAGCTTTATGGGCTAATTTGTCATGTTAAACCAATAGCCAACTTTACATCATAGTTTTTGAGTCTAACTGAGGCAGCATATTTTATTTTGGTGTTAATTACACCAAAATGTGAAATTGTTAAATGTGAAATTGTGCAGGTATGAATACTTAAGGAATCATTTTTTTTTATTTTTCAATCAGAAATGCATGATTGAGAGTATTTTGACGGCATCTGTTTAAAGAAGCAGGCATCTTGTTTGAATCGTCACTGTTTATTTGCCATGGAGTTTCTTGTTTTTATGTCTCAGCTTAACAATATCCCACAATGCAACACACCCCTGGCTTTGGGAAGGCATTTAATGACTTTATCAGATAATGCTCACAACATAAACAAAGCAGTCAAATGGGTCTCAGAACAGTAGCTGTGCTTCAGACCCCAGTGGGATTTCTGTCTTCAGATTTATACTACAAAAACACACTAACTAGTTCTATTTTTTTTTCTTTTTTTTCTTTCAAAAATTAAATAGCTTAGGTTTTTAAACACCTCCAGTCTCATGTATTTAATGTACATTATATTTATTATGAGCTAAAAATATTTTTCATAAACTAAAAACTTTGGACTGACCTGCAAAAGATGCATATTGTTGGTGTATTTCCCTCTACTTTTGGATGCTTTGGAGAATGACGAGAATGACATATTTTGTCAAACAACATGAAAAAGAAAAAAAATAGTGATTTCCAAATCAAAGTAAATTAAACACCAGATGCCAAATCAGCTCTTGCCGCCTTAGAATTAGAATTATTTTTCCAGGATTTTTCCTCACTTACATTTTTTTCTTTTTCTTTCACAGAAAACAAAAGGAGTCTTTATGATCGATATGGAAAAGACGGCCTCTCTGGTAGAGGTAAGGAAACAACTTTTAAAATGGGTGAAAGGAGACACAATAAGACCACACTTTGGAGACTTCCTAGTTCTTGGTTGATATACTGACATGTTATATTTGCACTGATTAGTTTAGATTTTCTTGTAACTGAGCCTTTCTTTTTTTATATCTCCAAGGAAACCACTATGATAACTTCAGCCATGGTGGCGGCTTCACATTCCGTAACCCAGAGGACGTTTTCAGGGAATTCTTTGGTGGAAGAGATCCGTTTGCTGATTTGTTTGGTAAGGCTAACGTATTCTTAGCACAGACATGGCCGCTGGCTTGATGGGACTGTCTAAATACAGAGAGGGGCTGTGGTTCCGTTGTAAAATTTATGTGCTCAAAATAATACATGAGGATTGGAAACACTCCAAAGAGAGACTTTTTATTTCATTTTTTTGTATATGCACAGCAACATGCTCTGTTACCTAATGAGTTTGCCCCTTAGCCGCTTTTTCCTGATGTGCAACTGTAGATGTAGGGGGAAAAATCCCAGTGCTAATCCCTCTGCTACACTCAACACTCTCCTCAACAGGATGCATCTGCCAGTAGATGCCTCTTGTAGATACAGTGCTGGCTGTTGACTTCAGCATCGTTACATAACCTCCCTCATTTAGCAATTATTTTGACCTTTTCTGTAATATAATCCACAAATTTCATTAATAAACTATTGACCTTTGATCACTGGCGAATCAAGAAAGCTCATTTTTCTACAGGAACTCTTAAGCCTGTTTGTAAGTATTTACTTTATAAGTACATTTTTTTTTCCTTCATGTTGACACCTACATCATCTATTTCTTAACCTCAAAGGGACTGTAGAGTATAGTTAAAGGCAACGATTTAGGTCAATTTCTGTGTGTTTGTTAAAGTCTTTGTAATAAATCTGAAAAAGGAACAGTTTCTGAAATGTGTTTATAAAAGGGTGAAACACTTTTAGTGCTTGTTGGAGGGTATCTGGGTTCAACAGAAGGCTGATTGGAAAGCATTTTGTACTTCACCTCATGTAGCTCTAAATAAGGAGTTCAGACGCAGGCGGAGGATGGATTCTAGCATCTACATCACTCAACTGGAATGCATTCAAAAATAGCTTCCATGTTGAAACGAAAGCAGATGTAATAAGCGTGTGCTTGCCTCCCGTACAGACGTACATGGAGTTTACAGATTGAAGATTACTGTCCTGTCATGATGCTGACATGTTAGGGCCATACTGACATGGATAAGGAGTAACTCAGCTGTTGCTGTTTACTCGTAAACAGTGACCATAAAACAAGATGGCCAAATCCCTGAGCTGAAGATGGAGGTTCAGTTTCTGTTTTGACTTTAAATAGCCTTTATTGCATTTGTCTGACTCGTAACTGGAGAAAGTTGCATTAGTTTAAAAAAAGTATTTAAACCCTTTGAATCTATTTTTCACAAAGTAAGCAAAAATGTGTAGTGTCCTTTTAGCCGATCCTCCTTTAAAATCAGAAAGATGAAACTGGAGGAGCTGCAGATGTTTGCTGCTCAGGTGAGACTTTGTTATGCTTTCTGGCATTTGTTAAGGGAAACTAAATATTTTCTAAATGCCATTCCCACTGAGCAGTTGACACAATGATGAGATGATTGTCAGCAGCTACGTTTACAGGAAAAAAATAGTTTGAGAGTATCGACTAATTTGTGTTTAAAAAAAAAAAAAAGGAAACCAGTTTATTTTCTTTCCACCTTCCACTAACGCTCTGCTTTCTGTCGCTCTGTTTTATAAAATCCAAACACAATTAAAGTTGTTTGTAAAATGTGAAATTGTGCAGCTATGAATACTTAAGGAGGCACATTATCAGTTCATTTTTTTATTTTTAAATTAGAAATGCATGATTGAGAGTATTTTGACGGCATTTGTTTAAAGAAGAAGGCATCTTGTTTGAATCGTCACTGTTTATTGGCCATGAAGTTTCAGTTGCTCGTTTAGCCTGAGCTCAGCTAGGGAAGGTGTTTTAGGGTTGTATATAAATCCCATTCAGCCCTCAGGTCCTGATCGTCCAGCTGCCTGTCTTAGCAAACAGCAGCTGGTCCTGTGGATCTGTCACTCAGCCCACTCAGTGTCCTCTGAGACAAACAGTCTCTCACTTCAATGTGGCCAAGATGTCTGCCAGGAATGGCAGACGCTTTTCCTGAAATGAACGTTATGAATCGAGAAGGAGAGGTCAACTTTTTTTATTTTGCTTCCTGCTGAATTCTACCTTGACTTATTTTGTTATACATATCTTTAGTTTAAGGTCCCTAAAGCCACATGTACTCTAATTATTAAATTTGTAAGGTTTCATGTATTTGTCAAGTAATCACTCTTTACTTGGATATTAAAGTTCTGAATCACACTTCAGTAGTTAAACAACATTCCTCAGAGTTTACATTCCTCTCTTTATTTTCCACTGATGCGTAACTTCCCTGCTAAAGCTCATCTCTGTTCAGCTCTTGGTACACAGAAACACAGCAGATTTTTATTTTTTATTTTAAGCCTTTCTGTCAGGGGGAAGAAGCAAACCCATTTTTAATGCAGCCTTGGTGTGCTCAAGGTTGAGGGAGGAGTCTTCTTTTAGTGCCAGTGATTCCAGCCTTATCCTGCTAGGGTGACCCAGATCGGCAGCACACAATTAGCAGAAGCTCCTCTGGGCTTTGGGATAGAAATGGGTCTGCGTCACTTGACAGTTTTTAAACGGATAACACATTTCCAGAAATTACTGATAAATGCTCTGCCATTCATGACAGCTTTTGGGATTTTTGATTTGTTTGCTGTTTTTGGAATAATTAACTATTTAAAAAAAAAAAAAGCTAAAACATAGTTTGGATGATAAGCTCACATTCCACCTATTCTTGTTTCTTCTGTCTGTAATATAATCATCTGTCAGCTTGTCAATCATCTCTCTATCCTCCTTCCATCCAAATTTCCTATCAGTCTATTGCTCCATCCTTTTCATGCATTCATTTATGCCTCTGTTTTGTCATCCATCTATTTGATCACTGGAGAATCACAAAAAATTGAGCCTAAATGTAAAAAGAACTGAAAATTTGAGCATTATAGTGTAGAAATATTTTCCGTATTATACCAGTGTAAAGAAAGTAAGAAGGTGAAGAACTTAAAGCAAACGGGAGAAAACCAAAATCTCACTTGACTCTTTGTCCGTTCGCAGGTGATGATCCCTTTGATGATTTCTTTGGCGGGCGCGGTCGTCAAAGAGGTGCACACAGGAGCCGGATGGGCGGTCCACTCTTTGGCTTTGGTGGCTTTCCAGCTTTTGGACCTGGTTTCTCAGGGTTTGATACAGGTGTGCAGACTCCTAACGTTTCTGCAGTCAACTGCATATTGTAGTAAATAATAGCAATAAAAGGATTAAGACTTTGTTTTTTTGACTGAGATATTCTATTTTTAGGTTTTAGCTCCTTTGGTGACATGGGAGGAGGAGGAGGAGGAGGATTTACCTCCTTTTCTTCCTCTTCGTTTGGAGGCGGCGGCGGAGGGATGGGCAACTTCAGATCTGTGTCAACTTCTACCAAGATCGTCAATGGCAGGAAAATCACCACAAAACGGTATGACAGAGATTAACTCATGGTGTAGTGCCTTGCGGTAGTTTTATATAGCCTATAATTGCAAAAAAGAGGCAAAGGGACTGTTTTTATTTAGTTTTTTCCCTTCCCAGATGTAATTTCAGTTGTTCTGTCTGTAAAAGGCTTAGAGCCTTGATGGCAAACATCAGTCAAGCAGCTTTATGATGATCAGGAAAAACGGCAGGCAGGAAGAAGTTGAAAGCAGTGTTAGGCTATAAAATCTTAAACTTTGAATATCTTACAAAGCCTAAACAAAAGTTTAGTGCAGCTGTAAACTGAGGATGATATAGTAGTTTGTGTAAACTGGCCAGGTAGGAAAGGACTGTTATTAAGAGAAGTAGCCATGATGAACATTGTGACTATGGAGGAGAGGAGATCCACGGTTTAGGTTTAAAACATGAAGGTGACGCTTAGGGGATGCGCTTTTTCAGCAGGGATAGGGAACTTGTTCAGAGTTGGTGGGAAGATTGAGGGAGTGGATTACAGCGCAATTCTAGAGGAAAACCTTCAAAAGATAAGGGATTAAGAGAGAGTTCAGCCTCCAGCTACAGGATGACCCCAAAGTACAATAAAGGCTACAATGGAAGGGCCACAGAGTTAAACTGCCAAGCCTAAATTCAATCCTAAAATTGAGCTACTTGGCTACCAAAGTTTAAGAGTTTCAATCTCTACATGTACAACGTTGGTGTAACCCACAGTATCATCCTTGCACTTATATCTGCTGTTTATTGAGAGACCCAGTATAAATATTGCCATACTCCTGTTTTTGAATACGACAACCTGATCTACTTAATGTTGGTCTATCAAATAAACTTGTGAAATATAAGTTTGTAGATGTGTGATTAAAATGTGAAGTTGACATGGTGTGAATACTTTTACGAGGCATTTTATAAGTAATAATTCTTGCGCCGGGGTTTCTAAAAAGACTGCTCTGTCTGTTTGTTACAGGATTGTGGAGAACGGCCAGGAGCGGGTAGAAGTGGTGGAAGATGGTCAGTTAAAATCCCTTACAGTTAATGGTAAGGAGCAGCTCTTAAGACTGGATAACAAGTAAATCTCACCCCCAAATTTTACCTACATGCAATTGTCTCATCTGGAAGAGAAAAAAAAAAGTCTCCTTTCTCTCTCTCTCTTACTCCTGCATCTCATTTCCAAAGAATTTTCTCGTTAGCTTAGCTGCAAGAGAGAAGAGAGATATGTTTTCAGTATTTGTATATTTGTATGTATTCCATTACTTAGGGGGACCAGCTTGCTGGGATTGTTATTTTGTTTTTTTCTTATTAATATTTTCTGAATTTATTGAGTTGTACTTTTCTGCCATAAACACAAAGTTGGCTGTGTGCTGTATATTTTATTCCTTCAGGCAGGGTGTATATTGTCTTTGGTGTTGTGGCAGAAAAAATAAGATGCTGTATGTTTAACTTCCGCATGTCATTTTTTGCTCCCTTTTTATTTGACTAGTTTAACAAGTGAATGAGAAACTTAACCACCTCACATTAATGTGTTTAACATAAACTCCACTTTGCTAACCTGTTGCTGTTGTTCATGCGAGTGTAATGAGATTTGTGTTCATTAATAAATTAAATATAACATACTTTGCTCATTCTCTCTGGGAGTGTGTTTGGTTTGTTCCTGCATGGTCGCTGATTGAAGAAGGCATTAACCGCTGCACCAGCTGAGATGTCAGGTTAAATAGCAGCTTTGGATAACAGGAGGTCACGCACAGAGGACTTTTTGTTCTTCATGCTGTTCAGATTCTGTCAATAAAGTTCAGTTTGTGAAACGTCATGGAAAAACTGCCCTGGCCTGATGTCTAAGTGTGTTTCTTTTGGCTTGAGTGGCTTTAAATCATCTCTCCTCTTGGATGTTTGAGTTTACCTGCTTATATGGCCGATCACTACTTCACTAAAAAAGGAACCACGCCTGCTGCCTCCTGTTGCACACTCACTATCCATCACACAGCTCACCGTGTGTGTGCTATTTAACTCACTAATGCCTTAGTGACTCACATTAGGAGGTGGTCCTTTCCTGTCATTGAAGTAACCCTTTTCTTTTGTTCCATGAAACTTCAGTAAAGACGGACATCTTCACATACATAAGTTTATTTTGTTAAAGGGTAAGTTTTCATATAAAAAACCAGGTGAAGAGACACCATCCGTCCTCTTTTCCTCAGAAAAACAATGGGTTACACAAGTGCTGTTTGTGCACTTCATTTGCTCGCTTTATACGGATATAAGCTGAACATTGAGTTAGATATCAACCAGAATATTTTGATCTAAATTAAGTGATAATGCATATCCAGGTTTTATTGCCCATCTTAGCATCTACAATAATTTTTAGTCTCTTTACCCTCCCTTTGTCCATTTGCCATCCATCTTCCAATCCATCCAATGCTGAATATCAAATTATTGATACCATCACTTGTCCATCAGACCATCCATTCTTCCCTTTTCTGATTACTCCCTTTGTAAGGTGTTTTTTTTTTTCTTTTGTCTGCTACTTTTTATTTTTCCATCCTTTTCCTTCAGTCGCCCCTCCATCCTCATTCCCACTCTTTGTTTCAGTTCCACTTTTTATGTCTGACCACAATGTGAAGAAACTCAAAGATTCCCAACCTGTCAAGCTTTTTATCTGTAGTCCATCTGATCACTAAAAGAAGCTGTGCACATTTTTTCTGCCCATATTCATAAAAAAAAAAAAAATGTATACTAGACTACTAAATACTAGTCATGGGTAAATTCAACACTTCCCAAGCAAGTCTTAAGAAGGCCCCAATGTTGCTACTTAATCTTAGTATAATTTTGTAAAATTAGAACACACATATGACATTTAAGTATAAAGTGAAGGCTACATTTGTGCTTCATCCTGTTTGCTCACAGAAAGATAAAAACATGAGTGTTCCTAAAGGAATGTGCTCTAGGCCACTTTATATGAGCAAGGCCCACCTCGAAGTTTTTGAAATCTGTCAAACGGAGCAAGCGGTACAAAAAAAACAGGGTGAGGCCCCCAGCTGTATTTCCAAGACTCACTTAAATATCTTTTTAGCAGTGCTAGTTTAGCGATTAAACCTTTTTCTGTTTTTCAAAACTTTTCAAACTGACATTGAAGTGGGATTCTGTTGCTTTAATAAATTGTAACCTTTTATTCCAGCATAATCGCCTCTATTACAAACTTGGTGGCATTCATTCATAGTCTTATTGTTGCTGGTAAAATGGATGTAAGCTTTAAAAGTCAAGTAGTAGAGAAAAAGAAAAGAAAATTCCTAAATGGAGGATTTAAGACGTAAGAGCTGAACAAGCAGCTTATTCCTGGATTTTTGTTGTAGAATGGCGCCATCTGCTGTTCATTGAATGTATTGCAACATATGTATAATATATTCACCGCAAAAAAACATTTAACATTCAGATACTTAGGACAGCATCGTTGGTGCTACTTTGGTGTGTTTAAAAATGTATATAAAAATTGTGGTATATCAATTAAAATAATGACAAACATATCAGAGATGGATAGTAACTGTTTTCTTTTTCTCGCGGAAATAACACACAACAGTCAAAGTGAGGGGGGGGGGGAAAGATCGGAATTTTTTATTCCCCCAAAACCATCATAGAGTCTGCAGTCTAAAATGAGAGCTGTTTCACCAAGTGGAGGGAAACGAACCATACACCAACCTGAGGCTTTTCAACCATTTGACTCTTTTAAGGAAAATAAATCACCACAAAACGTTGTTAAAGATTTCGGTTGTTTCCAGCTCATTGTGTCGTAATTCTAGACAATGCTCAAATAAAATGGGACGGTTGTTAGAGGTTGGCATGCTGCCAAACCAAGGAAGAGTCCGAGCGTTAAGACTACGGTGTGCGTTTTAGGACATTCCGAGGAAAGGCGTTACCTACATTCTGGACCGGCCTACTTTCTCAGGAAAGGTGTGCATTTTAGGACGGCCTCAGTTCTCAGGAAAACTGTTGTCAGTTCTCACGGGATCGGGAGTCCGTTGAAAATCATGAGAACTCCCGATCCTGCGGTGCAACCTGCTTGCATGTGTGCGGTAGCGCCGAGGAAACTGCGGGATCCTCCATTTCCCATAAGTCATTGCGGGTCAGCTGGACAGCATTTAAATCAGTATATTTCGATTGTTAAGACCCAAAATAAACATTGAATGTGCTTATAGGCCAGAATGTTGCTTTATTAAACTAAAATATCTGCCCAGTTTGCAAAATATTATCAAAATAAAAAAAGAACTCAAACGTTTTGATACCTTTGAGTTGACAACGTTTTTACCAAAGACTGATACCTTTTTTTCTCCCCCCAAGAAATAACAGTTTTCACCAGAACTGAGGATATCCTAAAATATAAACCATACAGACAGAAAGCTTAAAGCAAAAATTGAAAATGCTCATAAATAAAATGAAGAAACAAATGAGACAAAACTTAAAAACTGCTTAAAGGAAATTGAATTTAGATACAGAAAAGCAACTATGGTATGTTCCAGTCATTGATAATATGAGGCTGCATTTCAGCTAAAGACACTGCAGATGGCTGTCATTACATCTCCAATAAATGCACAAGTTTATGTTGACATTTTGGACACTCCTCTTATCCCATCATTCAAAATTATGTTTGTGGATGATTAAATAATTTTCAGGATAATGTTTTTTTTGTGTTTGTTTTGTTTTTTTTAGGCAAAATGAAACATTTCTTGAAGAAAGGTACGTAAGATCCATGTCATGATCTGCAGATAGTCTGGATCTCAATCGAAATGAAAGTGTGAAGAAATCAGTAAACAAAAATGGTTCATGAGGCTCCAGCTGTAAAGCTTATCTGGCAAAAGCAATCAAAGAGATGAGCCAGATTGATGATGACTGTCAAACAAAATGTTTTTATTTTATTTAGTGTTTCTTGAAGCCAAAAAATTGGCCACTTGGATTGATTGCAGTTTTGTGTCATGTCTATGAGAACCAACTCTTAGAATAATGATTCTATATTTTTTCAAGGGTTTTAGTTACAATTACCTGAGTAACTGCAAAAAAAAAAAAAATAAAAATACTTTCGGAGTACCTTCACTTAAAGATGTTTTCTTCTTCTTTCTTTACCAGAAACTATTTGCTTAAAAGAATGAAACATTCTTGGCTAAATGATTCTGTTTTTCAGACACAAGCCAAGAGTACATTTTTGAAAATACTCCCTGTTTGAATGGAGCCCATTGTGTCATTTGGCTGTTAAATCTTTATCACATTTAAAAAGTATTTCTTTTAATTATTCCTTCATACTAATTCCCCAAAATTAAAAGCAATCCACTGGACTTGGTTTCCAAGTTTGAAGAAAAAAAAAATGTTTCAATTCATTTTTGAATTGAAATGCTTCCTGGATGGGAAACAAAACGTCTTCAAACTTGATAACCTTCACCAGGATATTCTATTATACTCATTCTTGACAAATATATATATATTTTTAACCAGAATTTTAATATATATTTTCTTAAGTATTTTTTTTTATGACTCCCCCTAAATAAAATAGAAAAATTTTATAGTACACTGCATCTGGAAAATAATTATAGCCCTGCTCTAGTTAAGCATTTAGATGTGCACTGCCAAGAAGAGTTGTCCAAACTGCCTGAGGATAGGCGTGCTAAGCTTGGGACATTGAATTTAAACAATCTTGAGGCTGAATCACTGCCAAAAGGAGATAAAAAAAAGTATGAAGAAAAGGTTGTGAATACCTGGATAAATGTGATTTCTTAGTTTTTACTTTTCTGTTTTGAAATTTCTTTCTCAAACATTTTTTAAAGTTGTGTGTAGAAACAGATTACATTATTTTAAATGCCAGTCTAGATACTTAGATTTCAGCTACCCTACATCTTCTGTTATAACAATGTATTACTTACGTACCTACCGGTATATCCCATAATACATTTATAATATACTATAATATAAAAAACCACATATATAACTGTCTATATGTGCATAGACATTTATATATGTCCTTTCCTTGAACCCCAGTCGGCCTCTGCAGATGGCCGTTCACA